TCCCTGCATTAGCACTTGGAACATTTATCCTGCTTCTCAGGTCTGAAAACAGAAGCATATATGTGACCATTCAGTATCAGAAAAGCAGGGTTAGAAGCTCTGTATGCTGCTCTGAACTGGAAATTCTATTAGCCACTGACACCAGCCGGACTGAATTAGTGTTAATCATATGTTTTACTCTGGCTTAAAATCTACAAAATCAAGAGTAAATAAACAAACAAACAAACAAAAGAACCAAAAAATGAATCAGTACTATTATTCCCTAAAACAAAAATTAGTAAACATTGCTAAATAATGAGAAAATATTACATCATACAAATGTCTAGATGCAAACACAAGTCACATGTATTTGTATTTCTCCAAATTTTATTTGACCTTTATTACTACCACTTAATAATATCTTGCCAGAGCTGGTCCAGATTCTAGGAGACTGTTACACATGTAGATATTAACTACCACTGACCATGTGTGGGTACTACTCACAGAAATGGAGACAGAAACAGTTTGAAAACTTTGCTAAATGATGTTAGTGAGAATCTACACTGATAGATAGGAAGGGAGAATGCTGTGGGATAATGCTCTTGCACACTGTAAAGATATATCACTGGAATGGGTTTAATAAAACACTGGTTGGCCAGTCACCAGGCAGAAAGAATAGGCGGGGTGACCACATTAGGAGAATTCTGGGAAGAGAAAGGGCAGAGGCAGGAGTCAAGAGTCAGTTGCAGAGGAAGCAAGATGAGTATGCCACACTGAGAAAAGGTACCAAGCCAGGTGGCTAAATATAGATAAGAATTATGGGTTAATTTCAATGTAAGAGCTGGTTAGTAATAAGCCTGAGTTATCGGCCAAACATTTATAAGTAATACTAATCCTCTAAGTCAATCATTTGGGAAGCGGCTGCTGAGTATTTGGGAACAGACAGGCAGGAGAGAAAATTCTGCCTACAGGAGAAAGCCACAAGTGCCAAACTGCCGATGGTAATCACTGCAGCCCAGATGCTCAGAGCCCCAGGAAGAAACTGAAGGACCTGGGCAAGCTCTCATTGACCAGGAAGTGAAAGGGGTGACAAGAAAGAGGATAACAACTAGATAGGAAGCTGACCTGACACCTTCTGTGATTTCCCATGGTTCCCATGTGGCATCCATAGATAGGCCGCAGATCTGTAGTAGTCATAGATGATCACTGAAAATTCAATTTTCGGAGGCCTGTTGACCAGTCCTTTAATCAAAGGGTCTGATTATTTGCTGTATACACTTCATTAGAAAGTCATTGATCTAAGTTATTGAAAAATATATGTAAGAAATGTTTCTAGAGAGTAAGTTGGGTTCTTTAAATAGTGTCAGTTTTAAGATTAAGCAACTGCTGGGGCTTTGAACATAGTTTTTTTAGTAAACTAATAGAAAGAAATATCTCAGATACAGATTAGTTCATGTGACCTAAGTCAAAAGGCCTAAGGAGCCATAGAAAGTGAGATACACAGTGTACGCTTAGCAAACATTTGTTTTGAGGGTGCTACTTGCCGGTTGGGGTCACCTTCATCTTTTCTATGAGTCTTTGTCATTGAGACTCAGTAACAGTAGTTGCATTCATATTAAAAATATTTAGTGTAATATCTGTATGAGGTATTAATGAAATAGTCTGCTGCACTGACATTCTAAGGGGGATTTCTATTTGGAAACTAATAACTGTAAGAATAAATTCTATTTCTTTTTGTGAGTCCTGCATTATCAGAGAACAAATGGGCTCCTGTAGGCACAGCATTAGTAAACATCAAGCTTGAGCCCCACGGAATTTTACCCACTCATAATTTGGAGCTCCTGCCCCACCCCCATACACATATCTATAATCTCTGTCGCTCTCACCCTCCTCGCTCCCTCTCTAACTCCCTCTCTCCTTCTTTTATCTTTTGACTTTGGGTTCAGAAAGTGATTTGTTGGAAGGGCTGAGTTCAAAGAAAGGAGGAAAAAGAAGTTAAACATTCAACAGATCGTCGTCTAGGTTGTGCTGTTCGGTCAAGTGGCTGATCTTTCTTTCTGTTTAACTGCAGGTTGTATTTAAAGGGTCACACGGGGACAGCAGGCAAACAGAGCAGCCTGATCCTTCACGGGGCTGATTTCAGCACGAAGGATGCGGACAACGACAACTGTATGTGCAAATGCGCCCTCATGCTAACAGGAGGTGAGTCCCGGCGGCCTTGCCCCGAGCTTGCATTTGTTGGTTTGAAGTTGGGGATTTCTTATCCCTGAGAAAAGGGCTTGATCTCCTGGTCAGGAAACTGAGGAGCAAGTCCCTAGAGATCACTTAGCTCTGCACAGGGCTTTACCCTGTTCTTGTGCAGGGCATTGCTGACATTCCTTAAGCTTGTCTCCCCCTTCATCTGTGATAGGAATGTCCTAGCTCCATTCTAAGTGAATTCTCTGGATCCTTGAAGTACCAGGTACTCTACCTTTAAAAAAATCTCTAGGTTACTCTTAGTGGCATATAGAACATTACTTCTGTTCAAATGCTTTACAATTATGCAGTCAGTCATACTGACGCATTTTCATATAGAATCAGTACAAAATGGAGAGATGTATTTAAACCTAAAGTTATACACTCAGACCAGGTTTGCCAGGGCTTTGAAAAATATTTTATCTGCTACAGCAAACACTATTAAATAGCATTGTATCACTATATACATTTTTACCATTCCAAATCTTTTCCAGCATTTTGTGTTTTTCAAAGTGAAACTTCAATTTGCTACTAAAATAACTGTAAAGCTCAGGCTCTGGTAAGCAAAACGGCTCCTCTTAGGTCCAGATATGTTCTTTTTCTTTTATTTTCTGTTTCTCTTCCATCATAGCAAGTTGTACTGATCTCTTCTCTAGAGGAATTCTGAGCTTTGCATGTTAAAATTCCTTTGTACTTACCTAATTGTTGGTTTAAAGAAAAAATGTAAACTATTAAAATGCTGTACACATATACAAAAATCTTCCAGAAGTTGCTACAGTGATTGACTGAAGTAGGGAACACTAACCTAAAACCCAGCCATGTAGAATATGAGTAGTGCATGTTTCCTCAGGAAAGGGGTAATTGTGAAGGAAACCTCTATATTAATGACTCTTTTTTTTCCCCAAAATTGTAATGCTGTCTCTTAATAGAAGGATAGGGGTCCCTGACATCAACCATTCTGACATTCTTTTGACGTGACCTAGAAAAATCTTTTCCATGTTAGTATGTAGAGAAACTGTCCTTCCTCTAGTGTGATGTATAAGGAACTTAGTGGAAAATGCAGTGTATGGTGGGTGAATGTTCATTTTTTAATCCGTGAAGTTGTTCTCAAGTTTTAAATCCAATAAAATGAACTTTTAGGTTGGCATTTCTGTCACACATTACCAGAACACAGAAAAATACAAAAAGTTTTAGAGTAATCTTTCCTTGAGGAGGCCCTTCTGACCATCTTCCTGCCTTGCTATTACTATCAAAGTACATCCTTAAAACCCACTTCACCCACAGTGATAAAATTTCATTGTAAGATTAGCCTAGTACCCAGGACAGCATGGCATGACTCTGCTTCTACTATATTCACCATCATGTTTCAGTTCTGAATACATCACTTGGGCATCACAATTTGAGATCACCAAGCATATACAAGTTACCTATGTGTGTAACTCTGAGATCTACATCTAAGAAGCAACATTACAAGTCTCAGAATTTTTTTAAAGTGGTAGCCACAGGTGTATCTTGCATCAATCAGTTCTCTGGTTCCATAACTAACATTATACAAAGACGTGAATGTTCCAGTTTGGCGCCCGTTTTAGTGTTGAAATAGACTTCATAATCTCCACTTGTATTTTAACAGATGCATTTTTCTAGTAAATAACTACAGTCCTTGAACACCCAACAGTGAGATGCTTCTAATGTGTCCTTAGAAGAGCGTCCTCTGTGTCCGTGTTCCTGTCAGGATAATGCAAACAAAGTACCAAGAGGGAAATTCGCTTCTTGGTTGTTGAGAAGCCACCACTGCTCAGAGTTAGGATCTCACTTCTGTCTCACATGATTGAACTCTGTCATAGTCTTTCATCCGTAATTACTCTTGGACTTGCTCCTCACTCACTAAGAAACACACACGTTGGGAAGAGAAAACCTCCACTTATTGCTTGGGCTAGAATAGTCTAAGATGTGTTTTTGTAATAAACACCACTACCCTGTCAAATATCCTTTTAAAACAAGCCAGGTCTTGTAAAGCCATTCACACTGAAAAGCTAAGCTGTGGAATGTAGAGAGCTGAGAACGGGAAATCATAGGCATGAATGTCAACGGCCGTCCAAATCACTGGAGCATGGCCTGGAACGTATGTCCTACAGAGCTACTACCCACCACTGTCTGTTCCTCATCAAATTATCCCTTCCAAATGAGACCATTCCATTGTCTGATGACTTTTCCTTTCCTTTTCTTTTATAAATTGTGTCTGAACTCACTCCTGCTTGATAGTGTCTCTTTTCAGCACCGAGAGCCTTCACAGTCTCAAAGTAAGAACTTGTGGTTTTTGTCATCTGGTGAAGAGTGTCAAGGTTGAAGTAAGATTTAATGCTCGCTAACTGTGCTGGAGCATTTTATTTAAGGACGTGGAGGGGTTAGAGTCGAAGGCTGTGGTGGCATTGTCACTTTCATCGGTTAAAGGCTGGAAGCCAGAAGGTGAACTCAGCTGAAAGCAGAGATGGAAAACAGAGCCTTTTGAGCCTTTCTTCCTCTCTCCTAACATCCTTACTGCTTCCTACCAATTTAACATACACCTAATAACGATGGGTTAAGAAACTAACCTACTGCTAGATAAATGAACCGTGTAGATTAGAGCCCATCTCAATTAAAAAAAAAAAAAGAGGTTGTCAGAAAAATGATGCACAAAGAATGAGGTAGTTTTGAACTGTAACAGTTTTATTGACAAAACATAAATTATGATAGAATTATAAGGAACAAGGAAGAAACTTTAGATCGAGCCTCCAGGAGTCAGTCATTAGAGTGAACTTTGGATGGACCAGTACCTCCCCCATTGTAGACATTTGCAAGGATGGAAGAGAAGGCTTTTGTTTTAAAGAATTGAGTTATGATCTTTCCTGTAGGGTAGGTGGGTTAAAAACAGTATTAACCTCTCTTCTGGTTATCTGTTTCTGTTCTTTCATGTAGTCATTGTAGAACTAATAAGAAAAACAAATGCAACACATAGGTGATAATCCATGTGCTCACCATTGTTGAGTTGAAAGGGGGCACACCATGAGCTGGGGCAGCATCGTACATTGGCATGCACTGAAGCCGACAACACAATGTTTTTTAGCAGCTCATAAGCATGTAGACTTGTTCTCATGTTAACAGGAAACCAATAATTCTTCCACCCAGTTTAAATGATGAATAATTTTATATATCATTACAAATATTTATTTCACCAGTGAATACATTTCAGTATCAATAGTGCCGCATAGAGATTTCTACTGCAATAGCTTCTGAAGTTAGAACTAAATAGAGGGACTTATCAGCAGGGACTTATAAGCCACATATATCTGTGCTGTGTGATTGCCATTGGCTTTAGGAACTGTTCTCAGTTTCGATATAGGTTCCTCCCTACATAAAGGACAGTAGTGTGAAGCTCTGTCTGTAGTAGGTGGGAGGCACTGATGAAGAGATAGCAAACACTTCCTTAGCCCATCAGGAGACTTCTCCGTACACTCTTAAACTCAAAGAGAGTGATCAGTTTCATTAAAGCTGATTAGTTTTAACTACTACTTAACATTAAGACAAAGCCAATATAATGTCTTATCTGTGCACGCTTTTGTTTGTCTGTATTTATTGTACTTAAAATAGTTGTGCAAAAAAACTGAATTAAACACTAGGAAAATAAAGAACTACTATTAGACAGTCACTTTCAAAGTAAATTTATCTTCATCTAGAGTATAGTCCTTGGTACTAAATCAAGAATCTTCAAAATAAATAGTTGTAAAAGTCAGTGTAAACCTCAATTACTAAGCTTTATTTATACAATCAAAGTATCAAATAATTATATAAACAATTCTGTCTAAAAGTTCATAATAAAATGCAATTATTAGAAGTTGCTAACAACAAAAAACCATCAGTGTGGTTTTATTTTACTTCCCTTTCCTTATTTAAGTTTTGCTTCAATATGATTTCCATATTTAGTATATAATATAAAAGCTATGTAAAAATGTGACCTAACCTTCGTCAGAAAGAATCTGTTGCGGTAGAAACTCTGCCCTCTTTTCCCACGCATAAACTATGTCAGCTGGCAGGCAAGGCTTTCTTAAGCTAACAAGGGATATTTTTCAGTTCCATCCTAAAAGAGCAGCCAAAGCCATCCACATAAATTTTTTAGTACGTCCTGGGTCTTACCAGATGCTAGCAGCAGAGTTGATAAATGCTTCCTCTGCTTGGGCTCTAACCTTGACAATGACAAACGAAAACACTAGCTGCTTCTTCACGTGGTGAATGACATGAAGGTGACAGGATCCTTGGGAAAATGGAGTCAAGTTGGCATTTTTAGTACTTCAGGAAGGGCCGGGCAAAGCTTTATCAGATGAGTGGCAATCCTCACTTTGTACGTTTAAATGTTATGAGAAGACCCACGTGGATCATCTGAGGCTGAGTGAACAAAATCTACATTGAATTACTTTTATTTCAACTCACTTTTTAAATTTAGTACAAACTGTATCTGTCCAGTACACACACACACACACACACACACACACACACACACACACACACACACACCACACACACACACAGTCCCCTGCATTCTAACTGTGTGCTACCTACTGCTGTGTCTCCAGATCCTGCTAGCCTGTGGCACACAACAGGAGCTCAGCGAGCATTGGTTTCAATGACTATGTTATCAGAGACTGTGAGAGGATCCTCAAACTCACCAATGTCCACAAATAATCCTGCAAAAAGTCCTAAAAATATTAAAGTGTGATCGATCCTTTTGCATGAAGTTATATGTAGAGCATGTGATTACATATAAATATTTGAATAGACAATCATGGAACAAAAGGATGACTAGCTAATCAAGAATTGGTACCAGCCTCGAAGGTCACAAAACCCAAGAAGAATGACGTCTAAAATTGCAAAAGTTTTACTTTTAGGCTGTTGACTTTCAAATAAATTTGATCTCCCCAAACTCAGTGCTTAGCATTGTATTTGTATTTTTCTGGTACATAGTATATTTGTTTCAAAAATAACAAAGAGAATCATTCACGAGTTTGGAGTAGAGTGAAGTAGAACTATAATCTGTTAGCCTTTTGCACATAGCATAATTATACCAATGGCAAAATGCTACAGCCTCAGGCTGGTAGCTGATTCCATGTGAGAAACAATGAAATAAACAGCTTGATTTGTGTTGCAGTCCCTAAAGAGCAAATACTTATCCAGTTTTGAAGACTTTTTGCATTACTCTAAATGATCCGCATTTCATAATTCAGATGCAGCTTATCAAACCCTTTTGATTAGGGAAAATATTAATTCCTTTCACAAGATCCAAGATAGAGAAAAGTTAGATCATTTGCCATTTGCCTGTGTTCACAGAACTGGTGTCAGAAGTCTGAGCTGCACACATGTACTTAACCCCAAGGTCATCACCCTATTGCTTCTACTACCTCTGTTGGGAGTAAAGGCATTCAAAGAGAATGAAGGGGTTGTATTCAAATGCTGAAAGACTACTTTCACAAGCATTTCCTCACTCACCATGCTTAAAGGTGAACCGGAGTCCAAAGGAGGGAAAGACAATAAGAATACACATAGAAGACTCAAATAAATTCACTATTACTGGCCAGAGTAAACAACTTCTCATCTTCGGAAGAAAGAAGAAAAGAAAGAAACCTACACACACACACACACACACACACACACACACACACACACACACACACACACACACATACACACACTTGGCCTGAGGGAATATAGTAAGAGATTAGAGAAGGAGGACAGACTTCTGAAAAGGCTCTTTGCCTCCCATCCACAGGAGTCATGCAGCTGTTCCTTGAAGCCGGCCATGCAGAGGGTCAAGTAAATGACACATAAAGTTAGCAAGTGACTTCTGCATCATTATCATCTTGGTGGTCGCAATGGTACCCAGCACTTTAGCCCAGCCTCACCCCATCCTCACTGAGGAATAGGAAAGTCTTACTTTCTGTGAAGACTCTCCTGCATATTGATGATTAGATTGTGTGCATTAACATGAGTGAAAGAAATCCACAGATATATCTTTTCACTTCACTGTATGTTTTACCTTAAAAAAAGAAGTGCTGAGAGACGTGTTGTTTAGTATCAGAGGACTGGGAGAGTTAGATTTCCTGACTTTCAAATAAATTTGAACTTCCTGAGCAGAAAGTTTAAAATCCAATTTCTATTTTCTGGGCAGAGTTTCATTTATTAGTGATAAAATGTGAATTTTCTGCTTCAAAGATAAAAGGCTCAAATAATTTTAAAGTCTTGGGAAGCCTGAGATAGACATTGCAAAACTAACTTTTAATGAGTTAAGTGTAAATGAATTAGAAACATGCGTCTCAGATTTCTTATTAAAATATACACGAGGTTACAGGTTATAATGAAAAAATACTTGGCAAAGCCTATGTGAAGAGTTGCCAGTCTTCAAACATTTGAGACATTCTGTCAGTTCTTGCAATGACAAATGGAAGCTGCTTTCTTCTGGCCTCTACTTGCCACACTGAGTTCTTTTGAGCCTAAAGTGTCTTTCCCAGTATACCACTCAGAGCGTGTGGCAATGTGTGCTGCATATGCCTACTAATGCACGTAGGCATGAGCGTGTGTGTGTGTGTGTGTGTGTGTGTGTGTGTGTGTGTGATGGGGGAAAGCTGTGAGTGAGAGTGGGGGGGCAGAGGTCAATGTCAATGTCCTTTGTTGTTCACGTTTTACCTTTTGAGGGAGTCTCTCGATGAATCTGAGAACCATGATTAGGCTAGGCTAGCTTGCCAATGAGCTTCAGGGATCTGGCTGTCTCCACTCCACTAGTGCTGGGGTTAAGTCCTGCATTTCACATGGGTTCGGGGCATCTGAAATCAGGTCTTCATGTTTTCAGGCGGGCACTTTACTGACGGAGCCATCTCCTCATCCTCCCAGTTCACTTTATAATGCATTTCCTATTTGTTACTCCAACGAATGACTAGGACAAAGGACAGAGTTAATGATTTCTAATTCCTAAGTGCTACAATTCAAGCATCTTACATCTCACCAGATGCAAACCCAGCTCTGTCCCAGCAGGTATTCCTGCAGAACCTCATACAGGAAAACTGTATTTTACACAGTAGCTACTTATTTCAGTAACTTAACTTGTAGCTGCGAGACATTTGTGTACCTTACATTGACTACTCTTTATACCACCAGAATATATTCATTTAAAAGATCTGGCTATGATGAGCAATTTTTGTAAAAAGATAAAAAGTGAAAAAGAAACTATTAGAAATGTTTGACAAAAAGAAATGCCTCTGTTGCTTACTTGGCCTTAATGCAAATACCAAAATCTTGCTCAAAAGAAATGACAACTTCCTCTACATTGAAGTTCAGAATATTTTATAAAGAAACAAAAATATTCATGAGAAATATTTACATTTTGTTTTCTGTCATGTTAATTCATCAACTTAACTGTCATCGATTACTCCCTAATAGACTCTACTACCTGTGGCCACTGATCTCCTAAAGATAACAATACTTCAAGCCTGTATCCCTTATCATATCAAGACTATCAATAAACAATCAATATTAGATGCATAGGTACAGTGTTTTACACTATTATCACAGTGAACTGTACTCATTGGAATGTCAGTCTCATATTCATATTTTTCTAATAGACTTACTTGAAAAAATAAAGCAAAACATTGGTGCCTATGGCTTTATCTTTATTACTGCACCATAGGACCCAATGGAGCATGTGGCTCTTTTTGTTCCCACTCTAACCCTTACCACTGCATGTCTACATGGCATTAAGCACCTAGATGGAATTGTACAGGCTTCCAGAAGCAGTGAATCATATTGTTTGGTTTTAATTGTGCTGCAATATAATTGCTCAGACATAGTCCATGTATTATGAATGCCACTTTCGAAGAGTTCTTTAAACTCTCTGAGCATTGAAGTCTCTATTACAGTTTTTGTCTTGCTGTTTGAAGAACAAAACAAGAGACCACAGCAAATGTATCTTTACATAGTCAGTGGTACCATTAACTAAGCAGAAAATATCAAATACTATTGTTTTTGCTTAGGATTACTTTGTTTTTAACTGATGAGGTCCATAAAGGTTTTCTATCTACCAGTCAGCCACTCTCTTGGCTCTCCACTGTTCACAGAGAGTTTCCCAAACATAGTAACTAACTCTGTGTTCTCTCCCCTTGTTTTCCCCAAATCTCCTCCCCACTGGCACTCAGCAATCCCAGCTGCTGGCAGACATTCTCCTACTGCTCTTCTCGGGCACACACTGTATTTAGAATAGCTTTCTGGCCACTAATTCATGTTCCTGGATTCAATGTAAAGGGTAAATGAATAATTTTTGGAGCTTCTTGGCCAATTGGAGTCTCTAGCCTCTTTATTTCCATTCTATATGTTTTAATAGCTATCTCCTAATTTTTGACAATTTTTATCAATACAAATGCCCTGAAGTCAGAAATGTTGCTTTAGTTGACCCTTCATCCTCTGTGTCTGTCCATGGATGAGTATGTGTGAAATTGATTCTAGACTCGATTTTCTTGCTCATCATGCTAGTTAATATGCTCAGAATGGCTTTGGCAGACAATAGAAAAATACAGACTCTTCACATTTTGACTAAACATTTAAGCTGGCAGATCTGTTTCCTTTGGTTACATACAAGTTCCCATTGCTAGAGAATATTGTACTTGTTCACTTGATGATAGACAAGTAGTCTGGCTAAATTATAAATGTTTCCACAAAGATTGTTCAACTTTCTGAGGCCATTCTTAACCTTCATTTCCTGGAAGTCTCTTTGTTTACTGTGTGCCAGCCACAGTTAGGTTCTGTTTGTCTCTAAACACTTGCACTGGACCCCTCCATCTTCCTACTGGCATTTGCAGCAGCTGTAGGGGTCCCTAATCATATTCACCTAGTTGCCTGCTTCTCTTTCTTCAGACCTTATGAAACATCAGTTTCTTCCAAAAAAGGAAAAGTCGTTCTTTCCTTCTTAGCTATTTTCTTTATGGTGCTCCTGATTGTGACCAGTAATGACCTGCTTCATTCTGTTCATGCTTCTCAATGTGCATGTAGTTTTTGTGAAGGCAAGGATCATGGTTGTTGTGTTGAATATTGCATAACAACATTTGAATTAGGCAGGGAGTTAAATACAATAGGACCAAATATTTTATACAAGGGCATCCCTTACAACATCTTTGTAGTGAACTAAATCACTTCATAAAGAACACTTAGTCTGCATAGCCAGTGAGTGAGAAGCCTGGAGCCTCTCCATGCCATTTGCTTAGCAAGCCCAACTGGGTGATGTATTAAATATTTGCCCTTAGGGTAATGAACAAAAGCCTGGGTTATTTCATTCTGGAATCTGCTGAGTCTCCGGTGACTATTTCTCTCAGTGATGGTATTCTGGGACTGTTTCCAAAACGCCATCTTCATCACAATCACTTGTTTCACTAATTAGATAAAGTACACAGGACAGATTTGCCTTATTTTATCACAGGATACCTGTATCCTATCTCTTCCCTGAGCTCAACCAAAGTACCCCCATAACTGCAGCCTTCAGTGTCTCCCTTTACAGCTAGGCTGTGGTCTGTTTCCACACTTTTCCCCCCAGAACTGTTGTGACTTTCTATAAACCAGGTAGAGTGTACATTTTAGCGTCGGTCCCTGGTTGTAGCTCAAGGGATGATTCTTTGATTCTTCACTGCTTTCCTTAATGAGTAAGAGCCTTTGCTTACTTCAGCGACAGGGAGGGACAAGACTGAGTGATTGAGTAAGGTGACAGAAGAGTCCCAGGGATTACACAGGAAGGACAGAAGTTAAAACACAGAAGCAGCAAGGTGGAATTCAATTTCAGAGTTTCAGCTTGGTCCCTTAAAGGGAATCTTCTGGGTAGATCAACTCCTTAAAATTAGAATATCTTCTGCAATATAAATCATGTGTATTTACTACAATACTGACCAAATGTTGGGGAAATGATTTTAAGGAAGGAAAGATAGAATCATACAGTTCTTCCTTTTGTGCCAAACAAGAGCTTCCTTGTCCCTCGTGTTTGGACCATGTTAACATTCATGCTGTGTGCATGCAACATGGGATACAGGACCTCTCATAATCCATCAAACATACCTTACTGCTCCTCATATGGATGGGTGACTAATGCAGCTTGTTATGCCCCTGGTGTGACTTTATAAACATACCCCAGCTGCACTCACCTTCTAAAGTTGAAAGCAGGGGGAACTAATGTTACTTCATCTAACCTTTTCTGAGGTTTCTGCAAGACAATGCTCATGTTCCTGTCGGACAGCAGCTGGACAGCTTTCTCTTTCTTTAGCAATTAGTCCCTTAGGTACAGCTCTGCAATCAAATAGAGGTCAAGTGTATCCAAATAAAAATATTCTAGAATGTCTCTGGCATAAATCTCTCCCTACAGACTTCAATAGTGTTACTTCAGGAGAAAAGAACTATGATTTATCGGAGACGTCTAAAACTTTAGTTCATCAAGAAAATAGAGCTAGCTTGTTCAGTTATTCTAACATCCTGTGTAAGCTCTGGGCCGCCACATCATTTTTCGGCTTGTTCTCCTTCCACTACATTTAAAAACAATTTGAACAATCATAAATGAAATATTGCTAAATATGAGCTATATGGCCACTATTGGAAAAACTTCCATGTTGCTATAAATTATAGACAGGCTAGATACAATTTGAACTTCGTAGGGACTAGAGTATCCAGCTAATTTTAGGACCAATTCTTAACAAAATCATTAAGTTAATAGAAAATACTTTTCTTACCTTTTAAGTGACAGCTGTCTAAGCATCTGACATCACGCTGATAATTGTTCTGTTCTCAGTTACAGATGTAAGATGCAATTCTGAATTTGTATCCAGGCCTGACTTTATCTTAAAATCCAAGCTTAGAGGCTCTGCATAATTACAGTGGGAAGTGTAGTCCCAGCCCTTCACACTGAAAGTTGGTTTGCATGAGTTTCCTTCATTCCGATTACTTGCACTTGTTCAAAAAGCGTCATTTGCGTCGCTTCTGCTGGGGTGGTACTGTTTTAGTGCTTCCTGTTTGCAGAGAATCAGAAAAAGTGTGAGCAATACCTCATCAATCAAGCCAGTCTCTTTCCAATGTTAAGCCTGACTCACTTCTGTTTCTTATTTTCCCTCCCATTGGCTCATTTTTCAGGTTGGTGGTTTGACGCCTGCGGCCCCTCCAATCTAAATGGAATGTTCTACACTGCGGGACAAAATCACGGAAAACTGAATGGGATAAAGTGGCACTACTTCAAAGGGCCCAGTTACTCCTTACGTTCCACAACCATGATGATCCGGCCCTTGGATTTTTGAAAGCACCATGCCAGGATTAGAAATCTGCAAAGAACTCTGGGGATGCTCCCTGAGGAGAAGTTTTCTTGGAAGCTTCAGAAGCAAACAGCATTGTCTCCCTTCCAGCAGCAAGTGGTTCTGTGATGTCACCAAGGTTCTTGACTATGGATTTGGAGCATTCTGAGTTCCAGAAAGTCTCCACTTGGGTCACTGGGTTCTAGTGAATCCTTTCCAGAGAACGCCACTCACTGTCATGCTTTAAAAAGGGAGGAAACTGCTCAGCTCGCCGCACTTCAAAGTGCTACTGGATCATATTTTGAACCTATAACACCCTGATGATAAATGCAGCTTGTTTCATGTAAAACCAAATGAAGAATAAACAGCAAAGAACATACATGAAAAAAATAATAATGGGAGCAGGACTGCCCGATCTGTTGACGACAGATTGCAGTGGTGAAGTGGTGTCATTCTAGGAAATCTTGCTAACACATAACATAGATGTCACCGCACAAGTGTGACACAAAGAACAGCCTTGTCCTCTGAATTGGCTAAAAGTTAGTTGGCTTCAGAAGCCCTTTTCAAGTGTCATTCTAGTCGATTTCAGTTTTCCCATGTTCAAGTGTAAATGCCGTCCTTGAAAGTCATGGTACAACACAGTACATGGAGGGTAATAGTGAGAGGTAGGAAGGTGCCCAAGGTCTCTGAGTTTGGGGAATACCATTTTCAGAAGAGTTAAAATATACCAAGAGTGAATACAGCAGGTAAAAATTACTCTCATGCTACAGTATTCATTTACATTGAAAATTGATTTGTTGATATGCAAATATGTTTAGAGCCTGAGTATATATAAAAATGGAAACTTTATTATCCAGTTTCTAAAGCAGCATGCATGCAGTCAATGGTCTCCTTGATGGTATATAGGAAAGCAGTATGTGGAGTACTTCAGTTGGAACAGCCCATTGTACAGATCTTCTGACATGTATTTGCATATCTATGGCATCATTATTTTTAAAATGTTTTAAAAGGTCTTTAATTCTTCATCCAGATATTTTGTGCTAATTTAATTTTTTTCTTAATTAACTGCAGTGTACTTACAAAAAGCACCCTGCTCCAGTTCTTTACAAAAGTTACACTTTGAAGTCTAAAAAGAATGGAAGAATTTTAAATATCGTTGTACATAGCACATTAGACTCTTCCATGTTAAACTCAATACCTGTTTAATCTGGAATATATAATGTTGTCTTCAACTGATGAGTATAAATATAAGTGTTCAAAGACATTTACTATACTACTTGATTAAATATATGACTCTTCGCATTATTTTTATCTCCTTCAGGCTCTGTTTCTTCAAGTAATTTGTATCTTGTAAAATAATATTAGTGGAGAAAATTGGCATAACTCCTTATATATGAGAGATATAAAAACATCACTGTCATTTGACTAGGAAACTTCTGATTGTTAGCTGCTATAAGTGCCTTAGTTAAGATGTCTTTATGGCATAATCTATTGTAGTTTTGGACACATGTTTTTGTGACAACTTGATGTTACTGCAGTATTCTTTCAAGAAGTGCTCTTTGTCTACAAATGGTCAAGGTTACATTAGAAAAAAATGTAATCCAACATGATTTACTATGAAATAAGAAAACTAAAATACACAGCAGTTCTGCTTTCTCAGAAAAGAAAGATTTTCTGTGAAATACAAATTTCAAAATACCAGTCTTGGTAATTGCATCCATAATGCCTTACTGGCTTTCCTCCATCAGGGAGAATAAAGCTATTCATGGTTTTAAGAAAAAGGTTTTTCAGTGTTTACCATCAAGTCTTTCTTATATTTATATGTCTGTATGAAATACTGTTTTTTGCCTTACAAGTGGTATGTTCAGGAATTACAGAGTTTTTCTAACATTAGTGACTCCCTCAGAGCTCTCTTAAGCCTCTCGCCCTAAAATCCTTGTTTTCATTTAGGTGAAGGAAAAGGAATATTTTTGTGGTTCTGTTTGTTCTTGTTGTTCCCACAGATGTTTTAAAACCAGTCTTGGATTAGGTATACTGTTTTTCAATCCATATTACAAAAATAAAGTGAAATAATGAGAAAAAAGCACAGTATTTACTGTTTTTCTATTTGGATTTGAGAAATGAGATATTATTTCCAATTATTTATAATAAAGCAGTATAAATGTTTAGTGACTCCATTGTGTACATTGTATAATGCCAACATGTCTGTAGCAATTTGACTTGCATAGCTTTTGCATTTAATTATTTCAGGATAAAATAATTAGATACTAGAATTTTGTCTTTCAATTTCTATTTCAATAAAAGTTGTGTGGTTTCTATGAAAATCTCTTCATAACAGTTACAACATTATTTGTTTTAAATAAAATTGAAAATAATGTGTGCAACTTCATCTTGTTTTAATTATACATTTTATAAAACTTAACTTCACAATCTATACAAGTATGGAATCACTGTAAAAATTACCAGATGAACTAAAGCCTCAATACTTGAAAAAATTTCATTATGGGAGGCAATAGGAAAGTCATCCATTAGAATGGTAGACCGATATGTTGGGTCTTCATCCTACATCTGTACTTTATGGTTTTATGTTTGCCCTGACAATTATCAGTTTCTGTATTGTCATGCAGCAATTGGTGATCTCTCTCTGTGTGTGTGTGTGTGTGTGTGTGTGTGTGTGTGTGTGTGTGTGTAAAAAGATAATTCATTTGAATATCTGAGTTTGGCATAAAAGGGAACAGGAAAGTACATATAAGAAATACAACTCATCCCTAGGCCTTACATCCTCTGTGTGGACTTACTAGTTATATACATAACTAAAAGTGAGTGATTTGATACCTCTGTTCTTCATCCTGCTCCATCACCACCACATTCATTCAACCCTTCACTAATTTCAATGTTGATTGCTGGAAAGACAGATTTTCTTCTGCTTCTCCCTTCCCAGGACAGACTAATGAGAACTTAGAGACCACAGAGGACAAGGCCAACTTTACCAGCTGAGACCACCCTAGACCACCATTTCCAGCTGACTTGTGGACAGTTATAAATCCTTGAGTCATCTCAGCTGAGGTCAACTGAGCTTGGCTCAGATCAACGTAATCCCCTAGATAGCACACATCACCTGTGAGAAAAGGATGAAGTGGGTATCTTATGACACATTATTTTGGAGTGTTTTGTTAAATATCAATAGCTGACTGATACAGTGCACACCTGTCCTCACTCATGCACCCACCGTCATTCTGAGGATGATCTTTTTATTCAGTCCGTATGTGCAAAATAACCCTCTAGGCTGCATCAAAATATTAGGGATTGTTGACCCTTTTTCTGAGAAAATCCTTTTTTTTAATCATCTTACCATTTATTTTTTCTTCTGTTGAAAATAGATTCTTTTCTCACATAGTACAATCTGATAATGATTTCCTCTCCCTCCATTCTTTTAGTTCCTCCCCACCTTCCTGCCTTTTCAGATCCACTTCCTTAATTGTGACCATCCACTTCTATATATACCATTGGCCTCTCTTTACTTGTCTGACTATTACAGTCCTTTACTTTATTTTAAGAGATTGTTTCCAGTTTTTATTGTTTGAGTGCAAGGGTTTGAACCCAGGGTCTTATATATAGTAGAAAAGCATTCTGTACCTAAGCTAGCTATATTCTATTATTATTATTATTATTATTATTATTATTATTATTATTATAATCATCATCATCATCATCATCATCATCTTTTTTAAGTTGGGAACAGGTTTTACTGAGCAACTCAGACTGGCCTTGAACCCATTATATAACACAGGCAGACCTTCAGCTTACAATCAAAAAGATATCTTTTACTTATTTTTATTTCTCCACAGTGCCTGAAAAAAAAAACAACTTTTTTTTTTTTGTTGAGTAGAATTGAATGTTTGAAGAAACTGAAAAATCTATGAATGGTACAGGCAAAAGCTGAAAAAGACTTAGATTTCTGTTTTTCCAAACCCACTTTACTTGAGACAGGATCTCTCACTCACGGTTGCACATGCTAGCTTAGCTGGATGGCAAGCTTCCAGGAATTCTCCTGCCTCGGTTTCTCAGCTTAGGGTAGAAAGGCTATCATTACCAGCTCCCACGCCTATTTTTATGTGGACTCAAGGAAATCTAAAATCAGATCCTCATGGTTACATATCAATCATTTTACTCACTGAGCTGTCTCTCCAGCCCTGTAATGATTGTTTTTTTTATGTTTGTTGTTATTGTTATTTAAGACCAGCCCTAGGGTATAAAATTCCACTGATGCCTAGTTTACAGTTGGCTTGGCTCTTCTAATGTAGTCAAGGTCAACATTTTCTTCCTTTTCCTCTCACCATTATTTTATCAATTACTTGCTAAGCATCTGCCATCGGGTTTATTGAAAAGAACCTAATAAGGGGATTTCTAGGAAAAACTGAAATTCAACAAGTTATTACATCTCACTTGTTTTCAGAAGAGAATACAGAGTGAAAGAGAACTTGATGAAACACTCAGTGAAACATGAGGAGTCCTAAGGAGCAGGCAGGCAAAGGACTGAAAACGAAAGCATGGAAGGAAAGACAGGAGGAAAGACAGGGAGCAACGGGGCCATAGATGTTGTTGAGTACATTGCATTAGGGATGCTACCACACAGGGGCAGTACTACAGTTGCACGGTGTCCACTGGTTTTATCGTTCGAGAAGCCCTTGGTCATTTTTGAGAGCAGTGTTAAGAAAGGTAGAGCTTCAGCTTCCGATCCCATGGCAGGAATAGCATGGCCTCGAGGACAAGAGTGGTATCTATCTTGATTTCCAGAGCAGCAGAGTTGACCGGGAACCCGAGAGAAATGCAGAATCTTGGGTCTCAACCTACAGAACTGAATACATTTAATGAGATGCTCAAATGGCTTGAAGGCATTGATGTTTGAGAACCTTTAGGTTAAATTGAGTTTCAAAGAAGGTGGTTGAGAGTGGAAGGAAATGGGAAGTACGGAGATAATGAATAGGAAGTAGTGATAGCTTTCAAAATGCCATGTGCTTGGATGGATTTCCATGACAAAAAAATGAAATGAAGTAAAATAAAAACCCTTTAGTGTTGAGAAGACAGATAAATGGGTGAAG